TCTCTTTCGTTTTTTCCACATATCTCTCTCAACGCACGTTTCTCAATAAAATTGAAAAATAAATTCGAATATATAATGGAATGGACTATTGAAATGTTTATCATGAATTGAATTTTTACATACCACTTCGACAGATGTAAATGTAGCTATATATAAATGTATATGTGTACATGTTCAATGACGCCTTGTATTTTTATATTTCGTTATTTCGTTAAAGTGAAAACACTCTTTTTCCTATGTTCATACTCCATAATTTTTTTTTCTATATACACGACAAATGGCTTTGGTTTCAATTTACAGAGGTGTCTAGTTTATACCAACGTTTTCATCCCTTTTAATTGTTGAGTTTCCAACTAAAAAACATGTATTTTAGTCTTGTATACCCTACATCCATACGTATCTTACAATTTTTATTATATAGCTAAAGATTTGTACCCATTTTGATGTATTAGGCCAAAAATAACACCGAAAAAATTTGTTCTGATTCGACACAGTGTCGATTATTGCGCACAAACAATAATGAAATTCTGATTCAAGCTGTTACCAGACCAGATTATGGAACGATAAAAAAGCCAACATATTCCTAGCAATATGCTTTTAGGTCGAACTATGATGAACATAGTTTATATTGGTTACTACTTTGTAAAACACCTAGCCAAAAAAAGAGACTGAATCTGGAACAAGAGTGATAGAAGCAGGGATACCAGAAACCAGATTGAAAATGGAGAGACAAAACTAGTTCATTTTAACAACAGAGAAAAACTTGTCATAAATGTCATTAATATATGTCGGAGATTTAATATGGTAATTGACGATAGTATGAAAAAAAACGAAAAACAAAACATCTGGATAAATGTGGCACCAAAATGATGATGATGATGGCACGGACAGGTAGAGATCGGTGATTCTGTTTGATTTGAAAGGCGCCATAAAAGAACGCTTTTGTTGATTTTCAACGAGAAAAGAGAACAAAACAAAAAAAAAGAAAACTCTGTCAAGGATAAATGAAATGGATGGATAAAGCCTGACGACACGAAATGACATGACATGATGATGAGAACCAGTTTTTGTTATTTAACAGTCATAATTCAATTTAGGCTGAATAGTATGATGAAATAAAAATCAAATGGATCGACAAAGAAAAAAGAAATAAGAGAAAAAATATGCAACCAACATCCACTTCTAAAGTAGTTGTATTTTTTCTCGTACAAATTATCTGTCAAATGAATGAGAGCGAAACAGGTGATAGAACAGATTCATTCAACCAAACAATCGATAATTGTATCATCCGTCTATGAATATGGACCGTTTGGCCAATCTAAAGCAGCAACAAACTTCATCTACGAGCAAAATAAATCTTTTTGATGGTTTTGGCCCAAAAATTAATTGTACCGTTGTAATCATCAATGATATTAAAACACTAAAAGACAATGGAATAAGATATAAAAACCAGAAAATTTTTCCACAAAGAATGAGTAGGTAAAAAGAAGGTCATATTTAATATCGATGACAATTGTTGAAAAAAATGGTTAAATCACTGAAACAATAATAATTGTCTATGATTGTTTTGATGAATCAATCAACCGTATAAATATGCTCATTTATCGCTATTATAGATTTTTTTTTTTTTGGTTGGACAACAGTTTTTTCAACTCTTTTTTGCTATCAACATTCAAGTTCTTCTTCATCATTTGGCATTCTCATGAAATTTGGTTTGAATAATCCATATTATTTTATTTAAAAGATCAACTTGGCTTTTGTCTCAAGTTGGTATTAATGAAAAACGTAATCGAAATTTTATTTAAATTCACCATGACACGAGAGCCCAAAACCAGAAACTACCTACGCCTATTTTTTTTTGTTTTACCTCTGAATCCTATTGTTTCATCATCTCCGTTAACGATAAAAGCGTACCAGAAGTGAATAAATAAAAATTTAACCAGAAAAAACCAGAATTAAACCACTAAGAAGTTTTTGTGTAAAATATTCTCAACATTTGTTAATGTTGCTAGCATTGATGACGAAGTTATAGTCGTCATCAAATTATATAATCGTACTTTATGGCAAGAAATAAGTCAAAATTATGGTGAAAATTTAAAAATTAAAATGAATATAAATGCGTTATAAAATCAAATGAATTACGTAATAAAAGACATAAAACGAATGCGTTAATATTATTTACTATAGCAATCCTAATGCTGATGGATCAATCAATAAATGCCACATAATTGTCCGCTAAATCCCGAATAGCCTTGATCTATTTATATAGTTTTTTTTATTCTATTTGAATATTTTCGAGTTATCGATTGAGGCTTCCTTGAGTCAATAATAGATTCTGGTCTTATGTTGAAAATGCCAAAGAATAATTCAATATGGCACTTTATATAGTTTAGGATCCATTCATTTTGTAAAAAAAGTGTCATCTAGCAGCAATGTTAAGAATCAAGATTCTTGATTTTGTCTTTGCAAAGTAGTAAAAGCAATGAAAAGGGTGATGGGTCATTAATTTTAAATTTAAAATAAATAATTTTTGCTATAAAAATTGACACCATTTTAAGGCGATGACCACAAGAACAACAATAACAAAAGCGAATCTAATATTACAAGGAAAATAAGTAAAACTCGTTTCTCATTATGGAGACTTTTCATAATCATCTCAAATTTTGTCATCCAACACCGATACAGGCAGAGAGTTTGAAATTAAAAAATTAAAAATCATGAAATCATTTTCATTAAAGACACGGCTAGTTTGTCATAGTGTATCCATGTTCCAGAAAAACTTGTCGTTATCTATTCGATGACGATGATGATGATGATGATAATGGTTAATTTTGTAGTTTTGTGTAAAAAAAACAAAAAAAATGACACATGCTGTTAGGAAAATCACTTCATTCAGTAGCGTATTTTTAAATGATGATGTCATAAATGGAGGTATCTTTTTCTATCAAGTATTCTAACAAAAATAAGGATAAAGTAATCTGAAAACGTAATATCAACAATAAAAATTTTTATCATATAAACAAAAGAGAAGCAATAACAAATTCAAATATGAAATTTCGGATGTTTATACAAACAACAAATTCATCATCATTTACTCGATCCGGAAGGATAATCAACATTTCGAACTCATAATAACGGCTTAATAACACCATCAACGATGATGTTAAGCCTTTGGGCATGTGATCAAATATCGGACATTTTGATCTGAAATTGAAACAAAAATTCATTTAAACACACATATAATGATAATAATTTTACATTCAAGCAAACAAATAAAACAAAAACAAATTAATAGTTTCATTAACTTTGCCGGTCACCATTATCATCGTCATCATCAACCACGCAATCATACATTTATGAAGGAGTGTCCATCACTCGTGTCGATTAAATTGTTTCATGATTTCATTAAATAAGTTGATGAACATTATTGTTTGAAGCCATGAAATATAAATGAAAAAAAAAATTCACAAATTTACAATTGGCTAACATTTGGCCAATTCAAATGTTCATTTGTATGTAAAGAGTAGTGTACGAATTCAAATAAGGTTGTCCATTACCAAAGATGATGATCATGATGATCATTATCATTTACGAACTTTTAGACATTTTTTCCATTTGAAAACAGGATGCATATTGTTTGTAGACATAATAATTTTGGCCTTAATTATCCATTTCCATCTTGAACAACTTACAAACAAACAAACAAACACACAAATGAATCGAATTCAAAAGCTCAACAAATAAATGATCGATACCATATACACAAATACGGGCCTGGCATTCCATTTCGTGTTGTGATCCTGAATAACTAATATCATTCATTTATATTACAGATCAATTGATTTTAATGAACTTCAAAAAAAAAACATCTGTAAATGGCAATTCTAATTACAAAGTTCATATGCTATACAATTATTAGTGATTTTCCTTGAATTTTCATTTTAAATTCAAATGTTCATATAATGTCTATGGTCAAACGAATGTCATTCAATCACACATGTTAACGAATATTTAAATTTTTCGCTACCGAACAATTTAAAACATTTATACTCCAAGCGAATCATTTTATTTTTTCTGATCATAATCAAACCATTGATTTATTAGTGTAAAATTTTTCCATTATACAATTGTATACGTTGATATATCCATTAAACACAAATCTTTTCAATTTCATATAATCTAGAGCACTGAAATTTTTGAATTAAAATGTAAACAGACCAAAAAACAAGATCTGAATCAACAATATTGATTCAACAAGATAGATGTCAGAAGGCTAATATAAATAAAACCAAATCTAGTGGTCAAGTTTATATATGATAATATTAAATATGGCCTGCAGGTAAATCATAATCCAGTATTCAAGTTTAATTTATTTTTATTTGTAGATTGTGTTTGTGTTGGTGGGCTTACTCTTGAATTTTAAAATGAAATAAATTTGAATAAATTTTTTTTTCTTGCAAAACAAACTTTAAACGATTCGAAATGTAACCATCTGAATTTTAGATTTTCATATTTTCATAGAATCCAATTTCATACGAATGAATATCTTTCACTGAATATATGATTCATATATATTGATTTATTTCGGAAAGGAAAAAATTCACAAAATATAATTCATCTTTGTGTGTGTTTGTGTGTGTAAGTGTTTAATTCAATCCAATGGATCAGAAAAATCTACATAATTACAAAAATATCGGTCTTATTTTTGGAGTCACGAAATGAACCGAAGAAAAATCAAATACAAATGAATACACTTTGAAAGGACAAAAAAAATGATCTAATCATTTTCAGAATTATAATTAAAATAATAAAATAATCTCGTTTTGAGTTTTCATTGTTGTCTCAAAGATTTACAGTCAAGAAAATATTCATATTTTTGCATATAATCCATAGTTTACAAATATTTTTGTCTGTTTTTATGAATGATATTCAAAAAAAAAATAAAAATAAAATTTCATTTTTTCTGTCTTTTGTTTTTTTTCAACTAGTTACATAATTGATTATATCGATTGAATTGCTGATTATTTTGAACATTATACACAAAAACATACTGATACAAACTTCTACATTTCAAAAAGGCAGCAAAAAAAACAAAAATAATAATCTCAGTTATTTATCATTACATGTGACGATTGAGCGTTCGTACATTTATAGGCTACATTTATATCATAACCTGATATTTTTTTTTATAAAATTTGATTGGTTAAATAATAAATAGAAATATTGCTGAACAGAAAATAAATGAGGATAGTTGTAAGAAAAAAAATAATTTTAAACAAAAACAGGCAAAAAAAAATTATTGAAAAAATACAAAGAATTCATAAGATAATTGATAACAGTCAAAAAAAAATTTGTTGTCTTTCCAGTATTTTAGATCTATTAGTTTGAGAAGAATGAATGAGGTTAACCGGATGATGAAATGATACATAAATCCAAGATGCATACAGATCTTTTTTTATGTGTTTGTGTCTAAATGCTTTGATTTGATCAGTTATTATTTTATATTTTTCATTAGTGAAGATCGATTTAAAATCTAAGTGTGTAAATGCAAGTGTTTAGGCTTGCTTATTTTATTGTGATGATCTGACATTGTCGATTATTGTTGATGATGATGATGATGATGATGCTGAGTATATCACGATTTTCGTCGATAATGATTATTTTTATTGATGTGTGTAGGGTTGTAGGTCGAGGAGGACAAAATTTTTTTTGTTAGGTGAGAAAGTTGCTGAAAGGAGTTGTCCTCCTGTCTTCCCTGGATCTGGTAACCCTAGATGTGTGTTATTCGATAATTATGCAGTTGTGGTCGCTGCAGTACCATTACCGGCAGTAATCGCAATATGACCTTTGTTTGCCATATTGTCATAAAGATTACATTCAATATAAGTGGTTGGAACAAAACCTTCTTCACAATCACCACGTAGCCGACGTACACGAGTCCAACCATCACCTTGATCTAATTCAATTAGGTCAAATTCTTCGCCTTCATCCATATTAATTGAACCTTCATCTTGACCTAAATAAATCAAATAGATAATTAAATGGAATATTCCGAGCCAATAAAAACAAACCTTCGAAAGCATATAAAGCTTTAGCCATGCCCAGCACGACTATTGTATCTTCAAAATCTTCTTCATCCGCACCTGGTGCTGTCGTTTGATCATCATGACTGGATTCGTTTAGCGAACTGAGTTGATAAAAATTTAGAATCGAATAAGAACTGTTAGTGGTGCAACAAAATATAAAGGGAAAACTTACATATCTTGATCGGATTTCGCTTTTCCATTGACAAAATTTCCATTTAATGATCCACCATTGATAGTAGACATAGTACTAGTTCCATTCATATTTCCATTAGTTTTAGCATAAGGACTTGTTGGCGTTGTTGCCGAAGGATTGATTGAATATTTATTGAACAATGAATTTGCCGCTTGCATTAAACCAGTTTGAACACTACTACCACCACCGCTACTACCATAAGGGGATCCATTAGAACCATTTGAATGATTATGTAATGATGTTTCCGATTCGGAACGTGAAACTGAATCATTAGAATTATCGGAAATACTATTACGATGATTGTTTAACGTTTGTCCATTTGGTGTGGAATGTTTGCCACCATTCATTGTAGTTGTTGAGACATTGGTAGAATGTATTGTGGCCGATGATGAAATCGAGGATCTATTTTGTGAACCGGGAGCAGGGGTTGATCCTAATACACCAGACAACATTGTTTGATATTTTTTCAAATCGGCATCAAGTTTTTCCAATTTTTGCATGCATTCAGTCAATTGTGTGTTAACTAATTGTGGATCACCAAGTTTGGGATTATCTTGATAAACTTGACGCATTTTTAATAAGGCTTCTCTGTGTTATAAAATACAAATTAAAAAAATATTTAATACCAACAAGTGAGCTTTTCAAAGATGACAATTACCTGACACCATTCTCCTGTTGAATATTAGATTGTATGAGATCAATTTTCGATTGAATACGTTTACGACGTTGATTCGGTGGCAAATCAGAGAAATCCTCCTTTGATTCATCATGACCAGACTTTATGAATATATGGATTAAGAATAGAATAATGATGTTAATTTTCAAAACCAAATTTTTTCAACAATTCAAAAAAGAAAATGTACTTACAGAAATATAGAGGAAAAGATAGAATTCAAAAAGTGAAAAAGCGATAGCATACAAAGATACACAAAAGAAAGATAGCGAAATGAAACGAAAAGAATAAGTTTGAAATGAAAAAAAGGCGAGCCAAGAAGAGAAGACACATATAAGTGAAAAAACTATTGAACACTTGATCTAACTTACTTTATTTGAACTGAATATACCGAATATACCGCCACGTTTACGAAATTTTGCAGCTGACAGCGTTCCACGGAACGTATCCGTACATACAGATTTCGAATAATGTAATGATGTCGAACCAGTTGAAGATTTATGATGACTTAAACCATTGTGTCCATTACTACCGTTTGAACTATGAACACTAGCACCATCTGAGCTATCACCGTTACTGATTGAATCATCAATACAACGTGGATTCGAAAGGTCTTCGAAAGGAAAATCGCCCGGTGGATCGACACCGGATTTATATTTTTCTATCACTAGTCGAGAATCTTCTTTTGGGTCGATCAATTCAGATGCTTCGACAATACCGTCGATACACTTTTCGATGATGGGCATCACTTTTTGTCGAATTTGAGCACATTGAAAAATATAGTTTCGTATACATTGTGATCGACGTTCTTCCATATCTTGAAGTTGATGAAATACACGAGGCATAAGCTCCGTATAATGTTGTCGCTGTAGATCGTTGGTCCTTTGTAAATGTGTTGCATAATCGGATTTAGCATCATCACACATTGATGATTTCGATAATGAAATCAATCGTGCTTTTTCCACTTCGGCACGTGAAAGATTAAGATCGGCATCAGCTTTCAGATAATTTTCATGTGCTTTTTCCGATTCACGAAACGCTTTCTCGTAATTACGTTTTGATTTTTCCAACATGGAAATCGTTTGCTGCAATGAATTTTGTAATTTCGTACCTTCTTGTAGGTATCGTTTACGTTCATCTTTGAGCTCTTTTAAAACTGTACCGATTTCTTTAACAATGTTCAATGAAAGCTCTTCTGCAATGATTTCATGTTGGCCGGCAATATCGGTTATTTCTTTTAATGATTTATTGAATGCTTTTATCACCGTACACCTATATATTAATCATGTTAAATGAAATTAATTAAATCAAAAGATAATTGAGAATAAATAGCTTACATATTATCCTCTTCATCTTTTCTCTTGATTTGATAATTTTTGGCCAGTCTTCGTAATTTGGCTGCATAATCAATTTCGACGGCGGCCAAATCACGTGAAAATTGTCCATATTTATCCAATAAATCAATCGATTTATTTGTATGAGATGCAATATTATCGTATTGATCCTATTAAAGAAAACAAAAAAAAAAGAAAAACAATTAAGAAATCTATTTAAATGAAATTTAAAATGCCAAAATCAATCTAATTTATCAATGATATCAAATGGTTTGAAGACAAAAATAAAAAACAAAAAATCATGGGAACACACATGAAAATCACAAACAAATGGCTCGAATGTTTCATGTTCCTCTTCATAATGAAGATGATTGACCATTTGAGGTGGATAATGAACATTTGTCAGTGGTGATGGATCATCATCATAATAGTAATGATGAGGATGATACGGCGATGAAGCTGTAGTAGACAACATTATCTTTAGATATTTTTAGTTTGGAGAATCTTATTTTTGATTATTTTCGGCCAAGAAGATAAACAAAAAAAATGATAATGTTGTTTTTAATTGTTTTTCGAAAACCAAATGTTGATTTCGATGTCAATGATGATTATGATGATGATTGGAAAAATTTTTTTTTTGTAGGTCGGTGACAACAATTTTTTTCTGAAACTTCGCCAAGTAATAAACTAGAACACCGAAGACATACACAAAAAACACTTGAAATGATGGTATGGTGATGACAATCTGATTAAGTGAGCCGGCTTTTTCCGTACTTATGCCAGTTTTTATTCGGAAAATGTATAACGACAGAAAAGCGGGTTGACTTTTTTTTATTGGAACGTGTGAAAAAAACAGTGGCTGTCTGTCAAGCTTAAATGACTATTAATATTCTTAAGAATAAAATTGGACAATGAAAACGGGTAAAAAACTGTGAAAAATACATTTCATTAAATAGCCAACTATAATAGTGAAAGGCGGTGTGGAAAATGAAAATTAAGAAAAATTTCAATTGTAAATAAATGAACAAATTCATCCAAGTCTAAGACGCTTTGTTTGTGGATTCAATGCATGTGTGTGTGTGTGTGTATGTGATCAACAATCAAATATGGTCAGCCAAAACGATGAACAATAATGATATTTTTGACAAAAACAGACACGAAATGATTAAATTTAATTTGGAAAAATCCACACAGATTTCTCTCTCGTTTTGATCATTCTAACAATCCAAAAAAAAATTAATGTCAATTTCTCTCCATTTTTTAAAAGCTCTATTCAATGACCTCCCTTTCTCTCATAGTTTTCATATATCCATGCATGGTATAACATAGGCGGAACTAAATCCAAGGCAGGAAAGTCAACAATTTTTTTTGTTGCTTATAGTTATTATTGTTTTCAAAGGCGGAAATATCAAAACAAGGATTCATAAATGAACACAAAAGGAAATACAAACAAATCGATGATTTGTCGATTATTATAATTAGTTCGTGTGAAAGCAATGAACGAATTTCCATTTTTTTTCATAATTCAATATCAACATTTAAATGTATCAATGAAAACAATAGCATCCTATATTTCGTGTATGTTTCCAAAAATGTAAATTAACTACTAAAAAAAATATTTTGTCAATAAAATTCATAAATTATGCTGAATTTAATCGAATTTTAAATTATCATTATCATTATTAAAGGATTAAAATGACAACAACCAAATGGATACTGAACTAAACGGAAATGAAAAAAAACACAATTTCAAACAATATTAGTCAATCAATCGATCATTAATGTTCATGTTTCCTGATGCTGAGGTTATTGTTTTTCAAAAATTTTCAGGATAATAAAAATTCAATTTTATTTATGAACAAGTATGAATGAGAAAATTGAGATCACAATGAAAGCCAATGTTTTGTACATTTTTAAATCGGTAAATTGTCATCAGTATGTGGTGCATTATTGTCTTAACCGACAACAGCAATCTTATAAAAAAAAATCATGTATTACATTATGGCCTACATAAATGGTAGAAAAATCCGTTAAATTTCTAAACACAAAACACAAACACATGCCAGGACGCCTATAATGTAATATAAAAACAACAACAAACCATAAAAGACGAGCAAAATCTCGTTTGTCTTTGGATGATGATGATGATCATCATCATCGTCATCATGATGATGAATTGAAAAAAATGAAAAATACAAAACTGAGGTGCCATACAAGAAAAGATTTTATTCTTCCTATTATTTAACCATTTCAAAGAACAAGAAAAATTGAAAGTCTTAAATGAATGTGAATATCATGTTAAGCATTGTATCCATAACCTACTTGTTGTTCTTGTTCATTCAATAAAATTTTGACTCATCATATTATGACATAACATCATTTCTATGTTTTTATGCATCACCATCCAAACATTTGATTCGGCAAATTCAAAACAAATTCAATGCATATGGAAATATAGTTAATGAAACTAGTTCATATCGTCATCATCATGTAATGATGTATACATCATAATCATCGTCATTACACATTTATGCATCGCTTAATGTAATATATGCATAAGTGTATAACCCGAAATTCATTGTTGAGGTTTGTCTTTTTCCTATGCTATGGGCAAAAGCAATATCATAATCATCATCACTCTATGATAAAAACATGTATATAAGATGATGAAGCTACAAAGTATCATGATGATGAAAATATTCAATGTAAAAATCTGGGATAGTTATTTTTTTTTGGGGGGTGTTGGGGGTAAATAGCTCAATATAAGCATATCATCATCAGGACTATTCATAATTGATAAATGAATATTAATTAAATGAATAAATGATTCATATTCAATGAAAACAAACTAATTAGAAAAAAAACAGAATCGAATCACTAAATAAGGAATATGTATTTATGTTTTTGAACAAGGATCATGAACCATGCAAAATTATTTTTTTTTTTTTCATTCAATAAATTTTCAAAAGTACACTGAAAAGTAAATAGAAAAAAAATCCTTGTTTGAAAAAAACATTGAGAATATTATATTGTAATCTAAAAATGGAAACCTAGCCATTTTACAGTATGCAATATGTAATATTGAATGGAGTATGGTAATAAGCCATATAATAACTATATATTGACAATGAGTGGGAAAAAATGAGAACGAAAAACATATGAATGCAAAAAAAAAATCAGAAGCGTCAAACAAAAATATACGTCTTTGCATTGCCAAAATTGAATCAATCACAAAAAGGGCAATAATTTTTTTTTTTTGTTTAACTTCCTACTCAATTACGAAATTGTCATTTGAGAAAAAAAATGAATGAACTACTTTGGGAATAAGCAAACAATAATAATGATAATATAATAATAACAAGAAAAAAAATGGCAGTAAACAACAACAGCTACAGGTAAAAAATCATTCAATGATAATTATGCTAGAGAATCCAAGATCGTCATTTTCGTCATAGAATCGTCATTTTCGAAAAAAAATAAAAAAATTTCATCAACTTTTTGGCTACACAATACCTTATGTAATGATGATGATATAACAATTCAACCATAGCAATAAAAGCATGAACAAAAAGGAGAAATGATCAGGTCATTGAATGGAATTGAATTCATTCATTCATTCATTGAAGAAAGTAAAGAAAATTTAACTTTAATAGCCCATTGTATTCTTTTTTATTAATCAACAAGGAATCAGGCTAAATGAATCAAAGACCAGTAGCAATATATTTTAAGAAGATAATAATTTTTTCAAATTGATTTCTGTCGTTGTTGTTTGTTAAATCGCTGAACTTTGAAATGAACTCTTTGGGTATTTTATAAAAGTTGAATATATTTTTTTTTCTCTACAATTACCGTCTTACAGAATGAACAATTGTAATAATTTGCCAATTTTTTTTAGGCAAGATGTTATTTGTCCGTTCTTTTTTCATTCATTTCGACTAGGGCTATCCGTGAGAAATTTTAGTGAAAAAATTCAATTTAAAGTCGCTAATTTCATTTTGAAGATTATAGTATGAACAGGCTAAAAAATCCAATCAATCTTTATCTGTAAGATATGAAAAAGCAAGAAAAAAAATCGATTACATACCTGCTCTATTCAAATGTTGGGAAAAATCTACAGCCTCAAGGACCTTTAGGTTAATAATTTGAAAAAATCGAAGACCAAAAAAATTACTTCTCCCATTTCCATTCATCGATATAAATTGTTATATCGTGAATAGAGGAGAAAGCAACGAAAAAAATCTATAATTAGACATGTTGAGTTATGCAAAAAAAACATGTTTGTAACATTCATTCAGATTCAGCTTTTCCACATATACAAACATCGGGTCAATCGATCAACATCGACAAGATTAAACGAAGGAATAAAATGGAAAATAAACATTTTGGCGTAAAATAAGCAAACAAACGCCTGATGACCAACTGATCTATAAATCAGGTAGCCAACAATTTTTTTCGACCTAATAAGGTCGAGAAATTTTTTTTCCATTATTTTTGAATAGCGACGATAAAGTAGTTGTAATTTATTCAAAATTCGCCATCTTTACTATTATTATCATGATCATCATAATCATAATGAGATGATAGTAAAAACATGATTTTCAAATTCATTTATGACTGGAAACACCGTTCAAACTATCGGTCTAATATCATCTCACTTTCGTGGATTACTCATCTCATCATTGCCAAAAATTGCATCTTTACATATATCTGATTATATATAAAAAATGCAGGCCAAGAAAGAAATAAAAAAAAAAATACAAATAGATAGTTTTATGGGTCATTGCTAAGGCCAAACGAATATTAACTCGAATAAGGAATCAAATTTAAATAGTCAAAGTTTGCCTTCATGTGTCATTATGATATGATCACAAAATGATGACAATGATTGATCTGTTATATAATAATATTGTTTGCGTGTGGGTCAAGATATCGATGTTGTTGTTGCTGTTGTTGTTGTTGGACACAACTAATGATGACCGTCAATTATCCATCATCATCGTTCGTAAGCAATACAATCCAAATTGGGACAGGAAAAATGCATCATTTCTCATAGATTTATTTGAATGAAATTAACTCAATGGCTCAAAACATGAAAATATGCAAAGATTGATGTAATGCAAACACACACACACACACAACACATGCTGAGCAGCTTAGACTTGGAATTTAA